ATAGTACAAAAATGTTTTTGCATGACACTTATTTGCAGTTTTTAATTTTCCAGCTGCTGATTGCTTCTGATTTTAAACTTTTGTTTTTTTCAGCATAGCTGTCGCTGCTTTGTGGTAATAAGTTTGTCATGAAACAGGAGCCGCGGTTCATATGAGATGATATGAGCATTGCTGTGTGTGCTCAGAGAGAAAGACGGTGAATAAACTCAGACGTGTCAGCTTTCACTCCTCTGATTGACAAACTCATCTCGCCAGGATGACACGTTTGATGACACGTTTGATGGCAGGTTTGAGGCGGCTCATTGCGGTTGTAGAGGAGTGCACACTCTTGTCATGGTTCGGATCATTATCTCCGAGTTCAGCAGTGTGTTTGGCTGATCCTGTGTCTGATGGATTGCTACTTTGAACTCTGTGGTTGGAGGCCCACATGTTTAAATAATCCATTTGTCAGACTTGTTCAGATGTCACATTAGAGCATAAATTTAACTGGGAAAGTCCTGCAGCTGTTGTTCACAGTACCACTCGGAGCAGTGACTGTTGTGCACGAGGCTGGGTTTGTTTTAGCACACAGCATGCACACATGGTAAAATGTCCCTTCTTAATTCCTTAAATTGAAGCAGGAACAGGATCGACTCTTAAGTCCGTGTAACGAATAAAGAAGTTAATTTATTTTTAGGTCAGTTTCCAACAGCTTGCCACCGGAGCTTCCAACCTTTCCTTTAATGACTTTTCTATTTCCCTTTCTTTCTTGTGAAGAGGCTGTGAGCGAAGATGTTTTTAGATTTCCAGGAGAGATAACCTGGTTTCTCCTGTTTCAGAGCTGTTGTTCTCAGGCCGCAGCTTTGTGGTGTGATGCTGACCTCTAATGTCTGAGGACAGCACTGCATCACCCTTATGGTGGTAGAGATGCAGATATTTGAGGTTCTCTGTCAATGATGAGCTTTAGTTTAGCCATTACTGTAACACAGAGGCATGTAAACGTGTACTTAGAGACTGCAGGAAGTGGATTTTATTGTGAAGGGCAAGAGCAGTGTGATGATAAACTTCTTCTTCTTCTCAGTGGGGATATTCGCTGAGGTGATGAGCTTGATTGTGTTTGTCTGTCAGAGTTCAAAGCCCTGAAGAATTACTCCAGGAACCGTTACAGCCGCTCTCTCTCCATGACGAACAATTACCCCGGAAACCAGAGCCTGGCAGGCTGGGATCAGCCAATGAGAGACGAGTCTGAGGACGAGTTTAGCGGGATGGGAGGAGATCCCAACGCCGTGGTCACACCCAACTCTGTCAAAGTCACTCACCGGTCAGTGATGCTTGTTTTTTTCGTTCTGGTTTAAAATCTGCCGTGTTATGATACGATGCTCTTTAACCAAACACGACTGATATCAAAT